ACATCTAACTCTCACTAGTCTCACACGCACTAACGATATCCCGCTCTCGTTAATGCTTCGACTATAGACCGTTAAGAATTATACTAAGTGACAAGATGCCAGCCTCAACATCAAAAGACTCATTGTGATAAACATCTTATAATATAATTCTAGGAATGCAATTAAGAACTTACATTAGCATGAGATGTTTGTAAACTTAATGCATCTGCCTTTACATGATAGAAGATATCTAAGATATTACAACAGCAGTTGGCCATAAGGGCACCAACTCCAATAATCTCCCACTTGCACTATGGCCAATCTGGCATCGGTCGAATGCCCATTGACCTAGTGTGACCCTAATGCTTTAGCTTTCCCAAGGGCTTGGTTAGGGGGTCGGCTATGTTGTTGTATGTTCCTACTTTCCAAATCTCCACATCACCTCTTTCTACGATTTCTCGTATGATGTGATAACGTCGTATAATGTGCTTGGTCTTTTCGTGAGATCGTGGTTCCTTCGACTGTGCAATGGCCCCAGTGTTGTCGCAGAACAACATGATTGGGTCATTAATGCTAGGAACCACTCCAAGTTCAGAAATGAACTTCTTTATCCAAACACCTTCCTTTGCTGCTTCAGGAGCAGCCATGTACTCAGCCTCTGTAGTTGAATCGGCGGTTGTGTCCTGTTTCGAACTCTTCCAGCTAAAAGCTCCGCCATTCAGGCAAAAAACGTACCCTGCTTGTGACTTGTAATCGTCTCGATCGGTTTGGAAGCTCGCATCAGTGTAACCGATCACTTTCAGCTCTTCCTCACTTCTATATACCAGGAATGCATCCTTAGTATTCCGAAGATACTTTAGGATGTTCTTGACCGCTGTCCAGTGTGCTTCACTTGGATTCCCATGGTATCTCCTGCTCACGCTTAAAGCGAATGAGACATCAGGTCTAGTACATATCATGGCATACATGATGGAACCAATTGCTGAAGCATATGGGACCTTCATCATGATTTCCTTCTGCTCGGGAGTAGAAGGACTCTGGCTCTTGGAAAGAGCCGTGCCAGGTAACATAGGTAAGGATCCCCTTTTTGAGTTAGACATGCTAAATCGATCAAGGACCTTATCTATATATGTACTTTGACATAGACCTATCAACTTTCTTGTTCGATCACTGTGATTCTTATGCCAAGGGCATAACTAGCATTCCCCAAGTCCTTCATGGCAGAGTTCTCGCTCAACCAAGTCTTTACAGACGTAAGAGCAGGAACATCGTTACCCATTAACAATATGTCATCGACATATAGGATTAGGAATACTATCACACTCCCAGTCACCTTCTTGTAAACACAAGACTCGTCAGAATTCTTCTCAAAACCAAAACTAGTGATGGTTTCATCAAAGCGTATATACCAACTCCGAGATGCTTGTTTCAATCCGTGGATTGACCGTTGCAGCTTACAGACTTTGGCAGATTCACCAGCAATTGTAAAACCATCAGGCTGTCTCATATAAACATCCTCTTTGAGGTTCCCTTTAAGGAAAGCCGTCTTGACATCCATCTGCCAAATCTCGTAATCGTAGAATGCTGCAATCGCAAGCATCACAACTAGAGAAAAGGTTTCGTCATAGTCAATTCCATGGATTTCTCTATAACCTTTTGCTACCAATCTAGCTTTGAAGGTATGAACCTTCCCATCTACGTCTATTTTCTTTTTGAAAATCCACTTGCACCCTATGGGTTTTATCCCTTCGAGCGCATCAACCAAGGTCCAGACTTTGTTTGTGTACATAGACTCCATTTCGGATTTAATGGCATTAAGCCATTGTTCAGATTCGGGGCACGTGATTGCCTCGAGGTAGGTCTCAGGTTCGCCTTGGTCTACCAGTAAGACGTCACCTTCATCAGATACAAGGAACCCGTATCTAACCGGAGGATTACGCATCCGGTCTGACCTACGTGGTAAAACCTGAGCTGGTCGAGATACTAAATCTTGATGCTCGGGTTCCACTGCTATTGAGATCTCTTCTTGTGGTTCTTGAATTTCTTCGAGGTCTACCTTTCTCCCACCAGAAATAGCAGAGAGAAACTCCTTCTCAAGGAAGGTTCCGTTCCGAGCAACAAATATTTTGTTATCGGCCGGATGATAGAACTCATACACTTTCGTTTCCTTGGGGTATCCCACAAATTTACATCTGTCAGATTTGGAATCAAGCTTACAAGACGTCATGGGGGGTCTAACATAAACACCACAACCCCAAATCCTCAAGTACGACAAATTTGGTTTTGTCCCAGGCCATAGTTCGTATGGTGTGCTCTCAACAGCTTTAGATTGTACGCGATTGAGTGTGTGTGCTGCTGTTAATAGTGCTTTGCGCCAAAAAGACTCTGGTAATGTTGTCAGACTCATCATACTCCGAACCATATCGAGCAGCGTTTGATTTCTCCTTTCAGGCACTCCATTTAATTGGGGTGTACCAGGAGGAGTCAGCTCGGATAGGATCCTGTGCCCTTTTAGATAGTCGTCGAACTCCAGGCTTAAGTACTCACCTCCTCGATCCGAGCGGAGGGTCTTGATACTTTTGCCTAATTGTTTCTCTACTTCGTTTCTGAATTCTTTGAACTTGTCAAAGCATTCTGATTTGTGTTTCATGAGATACATATATCCATACCGACTGAGGTCATCAGTAAATGTTACGAAGTATGAGAAACCACCTCTAGCTTCAGTGTTGATTGGGCCACATACATCATTCGCCCTTTCACCGTGACCGGTGAACGGAGCCTTTTTCATTTTACCGAGTAAACAAGATTGGCATACATCATAAGACTCGAGGTCAAATGAATCAAGAACGCCAGAGTGACGTAACTTAGATACGCATTTCTTGTTAATGTGGCCCAAACGACAATGCCAAAGGTATGTGAGATTGAAACTGTCTGGTTTGCTTCTCTTAACATCTACGTTATAAACAGTGGCGTCTAAGTAAAATGTAACCATTCAAGGATAGGCAGCGGAATATAAAAATTTTAACATCCTAACATGATTATCTTGCCCAGAATCACGTACTAAAACTTATAGTGAGTAAGAAATTTATACCTTTCTCCGTAAGCGGTAAAAACGAAGAAGTCGTAGGAAGAGCATTGAAAGTGCAAACGTAACCGTTCAAGCGTCCGGTCTCCAACTTTGACACACGAACAACGCCGGAATCTACCACAATCTTTATGCTAGTAAAGATTATAGTAGTATAAAATATAAAGATTAAAACTGGGATAATAATAATCTTGTATATTTCTATAGAAAATATTTCCAATAATATTTAGAAAATATTATAGATATTTTCTATAGACAAAATGATATTAATGGAACACAAAAAGAAGTATTTCTCTTTCTAAAATGTAATGGCCGACATTTTTCCCATGAAAATGGCTAATGGTATATCATTATTTATGTAAAACAAAAAGTTAAATTAACTTTTGTCATTAGCTAAATGACAAAAATAATTAGCCCACTTAAAGATTCAATCATGGAGATTTTGATACTTCAAAATCCCATTATGGCCATATGTTTTGATTTGTGAAAGTGAAAAGGATTTTCAAAATTCTTCTCCACTTAAATGTTCAAAGTGTATTTTATTTGACCCCAAAATTAATATAAATTAATTCTAAATGAAATAAAAATACCCATATCATTTTTAAACAAGTGTACAAATATACTTTAAATAGTTTATGTCAAGATAATTATTTTCATAATTAAAATGACAAACCAAAAAAAATATTCAATATAATATATATATATATATATATATATATATATATATATAAGTGAGAATGCACCTTGGTGAAAGAAATAAGAATAAAATCTGGACTTTGGATCTGATGCATCGTGCGGCTCAGATTGCATTCTGCACTCAAATTTTGAGATAGTGCATTTTCAAAGGATTATGGTGCATTTTGACATGATGCATTTTCAAACCATCTTGGTGCAACTGATTTTGATGCAATCCTAACCCTTAGATCTCCCAATCTAATGCACCAGATTCATTCTTATTTCTCTCATTTGATTGCATTCTCACCTGAACCAAAATCTATATATATATATATATATATATATATATATATATATATATATATATATATATAAATCGGCATATATATCATATATATATAACCGAATATTTATATATATAATATTATATTCCAAAATATTTTACTTTACTATTTTTACAAATAAACAAATTACTTATTATCCCATTGTTTAATCCTACTCCTTAAATTGTCCAAAGTGTGTGACCCATATAGGGACTTATAAAGCTGGCCATAGTATTGGCTCTGCGCCAATACTATAAACAATATGTGGTATCTAGCAACACATTATTTCCCCTAGATTATAAGTTAAGACGTTTGCACCGTCAAAACCTTTCCACGACTCAGACTCCGTGTAACTGTATCCCTTTGTCTCAATGTCTAGACTTAATGCAAGAGATTAATAAAATCCAGCTTGTATCGATTAAGTCATTCAGTGATTTATCAAGTCTGACTGATAGGAACACACGTCATAAAAACATCTCAGCATGGCCATGCAATTTCCTCAATCATAACTTATCAGTGGGCCCCATAAGACATTAATCTCTTTTAAAAAGAGTAGTGACAAATCCTTTGTACGTAATCTACGTTTCTGAATACGCGCTGCGGCATACCCAAAACATAGCCTGTATACCATCCTTATTTCATATGGCTTAGGACAATGCATCAAAGTATGCGGGTTCACATATGCAGAAAACATAATACTTCAAGTCGAAGGATAGTTACACCCGTGGTCGCGCTAAAGATGCTTAGAGCATGAACTAAAAGTTCAAGCAACATCTTTAGGATGGGTTAGTCCGGCATCCTATTATCTCCAGATAATATCTGCCCATGTGCGGATGCGAACACATTGTCATTGACTATGAGACTAAGTCAAACATCCAACACACACTAGTCTCACATGCATTAACGATATCCCACTCTCGTTAATACTCGACTATGGACATTCAGATAAATATTTATTTCAAGATGTTAGTCTCATCACCAGAATAACACTATCTGATAAACATCTTTAAATATAAATCTAGGAATATAATATTCATTTACATTAACATGAGATGTGTAAACATATTATATCTGCCTATACATGATAGGATAACGATGAACAGTTGGCCATGAGGGTACAACTCCAACAATCTCCCACTTGCACTATGGCCAATCTAGCATCGGTCGAATGCCCATGGACCTAGTGTGACCCTCATGCTTTAGCTTTCCTAAAGGCTTGGTCAAGGGATCGGCTATGTTGTCGTCAGTATCTACTTTGCAAATCATCACATCTCCTCTATCTACGATTTCTCGTATGATGTGATAGCGTCGTACAATGTGTTTGGTTTTTTGGTGTGATCGTGGTTCCTTTGCCTGTGCAATGGCCCCAGTGTTGTCGCAAAACAACGAGATAGGGTCATTAATACTAGGAACCACTCCAAGTTTAGTAATGAACTTCTTGATCCAAACAGCTTCTTTAGCTACCTCGGCGGCAGATATGTACTCAGCCTCTGTAGTTGAATCGGCGGTTGTATCCTCCTTGAAGCTCTTCCAGCTAAAAGCTCCGCCATTCCGGCAAAACAAATATCCTGCTTGTGATTTTGAATCGTCTCTGTCGGTTTGGAAGCTAACATCAGTGTAACCGACCATGTTTAGCTCTTCCTCACCACCGTATACTAGGAATGCATCCTTAGTATTGTGAAGATACTTGAGGATGTTCTTGACCGCTGTCTAGTGTGCTTCTCCTAGACACCCCTGGTATCTGCTGGTCACGCTTAAAGAAAATGAGACATCAGGTCTAGTACATATCATGACGTACATGATGGATCAAATCGCAGAGGCATATGGAACCTTCATCATGAGTTCCTTGTGCTCGGGAGTGGAAGGACTCTGGCTCTTGGAAAGAACCGTGCCAGGTGTCATAGGTAAAGATCCTTTCTTTGAGTTAGACATGCTAAATCGATCAAGGATTTTATCTATATATGTACTTTGATTCAGACCTATTAACTTTCTTGATCTATCTCGGTAGATTCTTATGCCAAGGACATAACTAGCATCCCCTAAGTCTTTCATGGTGAAGTTCTTGCTCAACCACGTCTTTACAGAAGTGAGAGCGGGAATATCGTTACCCATTAACAATATGTCATCGACATATAAGATTAGGAATACTATTACACTCCCACTGACCTTCTTGTATACACAAGATTCGTCAGAGTTCTTCTCGAAACCAAAACTGGAAATGGTTTCGTCGAAACGTATGTACCAACTCCGAGATGCTTGTTTCAATCCGTAGATTGAACGTTGCAGTTTACAAACTTTGGCACACTGACCAGCAATTTGAAAACCGTCAGGCTGTGTCATGAAGACATCCTCTTTGAGGTTCCCGTTAAGGAAAGCCGTCTTGACGTCCATCTGCCAAATTTCATAATCGTAATAGGTTGCAATCGCAAGCATTATCCGAATGGATTTCAGCATAACAACTGGAGAAAAGGTTTCATCATAGTCAATTTCGTGGATTTGCCTATAAGCTTTTGCTACCAATTGAGCTTTGAAGGTATGAACCTTCCCGTCTACGTCTGTCTTCTTTTTGAAGACCCACTTGCATCCAATGGGCTTTACCCCTTCGGGCGCATCAACCAAGGTCCAGACTTGGTTTGTGTACATAGACTCCATTTCAAATTTCATGGCTTCGATCCATAGATCGGATTGTAGGCATGTAATTGCCTCGAGGTAGGTCTCTGTTTCGCCTTGATCTACCAACAAGACGTCACCTTCATCGGACATGAGAAATCCATATCTAATTGGAGGATTATGTATCTGGTCTGACCTACGTGGTATATTTTGAGCAATTTGAGGTTCAATTGCTTGATCTCTTTGTTTAGGTTCCAACACTATCAGGACTTCTTCTTGTGGTTCTCGAATTTCTTCGAGGTCTACCTTTCTCCGACTAGTGATAGCAGAAAGAAACTCCTTCTCAAGGAAGGTTCCATTCCGAGCAACGAAAATTTTGTTATCGGATGGATGATAGAACTCATACCCTCTAGTTTCCTTGGGGTATCCCACAAAAATTACTTTATCAGATTTAGGCTCCAGCTTACTAGACGTCATGAGACGTTTTACATAAGCTTCACAGCCCCAAATCTTAAAGTACGAGAAACTCGGTTTTCTCCCACGCCATAGTTCGTATGGGTGTGGTGAAATTTTTTTGATTTTTTTGATTTTTTTATTTCTTTGATTTTTTTTACATTGAGAAAACCGAGTTTCTTTATTTCTTTGATTTTTTTTAAAGGCCGAAAATATCTATATCATATATGTAAATTTATTATTATTATTATTATTTTGATCCGAAGATCGGTTTTAAAACCATTTGCTCTGATACCAAATTGTAACACCCTAATCCGTCCAGGTCTGCAACCCCTTTCGGACTAAATTATTAACTTGGTAATCGTAAAAATTTAAAACATTTTAACATCTTTATTTATCATAAAATAATATTCCATACATAACAGTAATAAATTACGGAGTTTTTAACCATAATGCGGAAGCAATTTAAATCATGTCTCATAACAATTTAATTTAATCATTTTAAATCATAAATCCACCACGATCGCCTCGCCCCTTCTGCTGCCAGGAACATGTCAA